CAAGACATATTATGGAATGGAGGCCCAGAAACTATAAAAGAAGCCGAGCACGACCACCGACTAGATGGACCGATGATATAAAACGTGTAGCGGGAAACTGGCTACGAGCGGCCCAGTGTAGAGAACACTGAAAAGACAGTGGACGCGATTGGCTGATTGATGATGATGAAGAAATGTAAGGCGAACATTGAGTATTATTTGATGAGATTTTTGATCTGTTTTATTTCCAAAAATACTGTTCATAGTTTTACTTGGGTGACAGATAGAACTCTAATGACGTTGATTTTAACTAAAATATTAGAAAATAATTAACATCGATAAAAGCAGCTTGTTTTATTTATTAAAAGTAAAAAATATATAAAATTGATTTTTCTTTTTGTCTTTTTCTTTTTAGGGTAGATCCCTAGAGATATTTTTGTTTTCTACTGAAATTTTAGGAGCAAGTATACTATAAGTAGTGTCAACTTTTCGCAGGTATTGCATGTCAACAAAAACTAGGCACTAAAGAGTGTTAACTTCTGAAGGATTAAAATAATCGACGAGGTTTGTCTCATACTAGTTATCCATGATAATTCAGAGAAAAAAATTTAACAAGCTGACACTTAAAAAGTAATGTTCAAAAAGACAATCCCTTTGTACTGTAAGATACGTTTAACCACCAAAGCAACAGACTGACAGAAACGAAATAAAGGTTGACTGTACACTTGTTTGAAAAACTTTTCGCAATACAAGAGGTGTATAACATGAACGCAGAGACCTGCTGAGACCCTCTCAAAATCCAAACTAATTTCATCAATCACCATATTACCCTCGTTAGCATACGCACAAACAGATCTTTTCCTTTGCTCCTCCATAAACGTAGAATTTACCTTTTCAGCCGTGCCGTGGGTACAAAACAGTTCACTTCAAAGTGAATTTGATATATGGAGAGATGGATATTTACATAAGGTTGTTTGATTATGCCTCGACTTTATTTTTTTTAATTTGAGATTTTTCTTATTAACGAATTTTCTGACAAAAAATATCAGCTATTTAATCAGTTATTTTTTTGAAATATATTAATTGCTTTATTTTACAAAATTAAAAGTTAAAAAAGATTATTTGTTTATACAGGGTGTTATAGTAAAAACATATAATAATTTTTGTAGAAATATTTATTATTATTTATATAGAAAGTCAAGAATTTAAGAAGCAAACTGCGAGAGCAGAAATTTTTTTAAGAGTATTGCATAAGTTATTAAACGAAAATAAAATTGTATCGAGACAAACAAAGCAAAATAATATACCTACTATAGTCAAGAAAAAAAATGGAAATAGATTGGCCATACTTTAAAGAAAGATGAAAGCAACATACCCAGACAAGATCTTAAATATCAACCAGAGGGAAAAAGAAAAAGAAGAAGACCAGAGGAAGAAGAACTGAACTAAAATGAGAGAATACGAAAAAATTGAAATAAGAATGAAAGAAACTAGTACACAGCTTATCCAAAGAATAAAGAAGATCCAAGAAAGAAGATACGCTGACCCGGTCAGTCAGTCAGTTGTTATTTTTGCAGCGACACTTAAGTTATAAACAAAAATAAGAATTTGTTAAATACCTGGGAGCGAAGTTTTTCAGACAGGCAAAGTAGTAGACAACAACTACAAAAGACTAGCAAATGCAGAAATTAGGAAGCTATGCGGATAATTAGAAAGTGGTCATTGAATATTTAAGTCATTTAATGAGAATTGGTGCTGCCTTTGGGAATGGAATCACACATTCCCATTAACTCGGCTAAGCAGGGAACAGAGCCACCTTCTTTGTCACTCATGAGTAGTTCTTGTCTGGTGCGTCCATGTCACGGGGGTGGGCATCTCTTGCTTCAGGCCGGAGCTAGTAGAAGGCTAAATTCAGATAGGGACCCAGTTCCGTGAGGTATAACACGGCCCCCTTGCTCAGAGATACGGGTGAAGACCACAACGATCATGAAGGTGGAGAATATAGTATTCGGTACAGTGAATTCAACGGAAATGGCAACCCTGTTTCTAGAGGTAGTATAAAATCAACCTGGTGAAGAGCAGCAGGGATCACTAGTACTAGAATTAGGCGTAAAGAAACTACCTCATTATATTCTTCAGGATATCCGTCCGTAGATTTTTTTAGCCATGTTGAAAGAAACAAAACAAACGGCCTCTAGTCCCAAGCAAGCGTTAAATGGCCAAAGGGTGCGAAGAATGTTGCGGTTGCAACTTGATAAGATAACCAAAATTGCTACGTGGAATGTCAGAAGCTTATTTGCAGCAGGCAAACTACAAAATCTAATTCAGGAAATGGACATAATTAACATCGATATTATCGGCATAAGCGAATTTTAATGGGAAGGCACAGGCATGATCAATACTACTGGTAAAACCCTTTACTACTCATACAGTGATAGCACAGACCCTCACCACAGACATGGGGTGGAAGTTCTGATAATCGAAAATTTGTGCGTCTCCGTGAAGAACTTTGTCCCGATCTCCGAAAGAGTCATACTTATTCAGTTGCATGGAAAAGTTAACATAAATAGTATACAAGTCTACGGCTCTACAGCAGACAAGCCAGAAGAAGAACTAGAGTGATTTTATCAATAGCTAGACGAAGCCCAAATGTGACTAAGAATCACGAAATTAACATCGTATTAGGAGACTTTAACGCAAAAATTGGGGAAGGAGCCGTAGATCATGTATTTAGAAAATATGTTCTTGGTCAGAAAAACGACAGAGGGGACAGATTGATACAGTATTGCCAAAACAAAGATCTAGTCATAACGAATACTTTGTATAAGTTACCACCCAAGAGGCTTTACACATGGAAGTCGCCTTTAGATGGACGTCAGGGCATTATATGGAACCAAATAGATTATGTGACAATCAATAGAAGGTACCTACAGGAAAGCTATTACTAAGGTATCTGCATTACCTGGAGCAGACATAGGATCTGACCACAATCCCTTGGCCTCTATCTCTAAAAAGAATAAAAAAACATTAATTAATCCTGCCAAAGTTTAACAATTATAAGGTGATACTTATTGAAGATACGCGTCGATAGCAATTACAGTAAACTATATACCCAAGCTTAATCAAGCAATTCATAGCGGTGCTGAAAATAAATAAAGTCTTCTTACAAACTCCTTCTGATGACGGATAGACCCAGAAACACGTGTCGGGGAGTGGTAAGAGACTCAAATTAAATCGAAAGGCTACCTTCTTCGTATATTGATACTTATTGCTTTAATGTGCTGCTTGTGTGTTCTAGATGTTGGGTCCATTAATTAAATGTTGTAGCTTCTGGAGAGGATGTTTGTGTATGTCATGATTAAGTTGCTAAGTCCTCAAATGGATATTGTCAATAAAATACCGATGTATTCAATAAATTCTTCAAAATTATTTACCCAAGCCGCGAATATGCCCAATAAATCCAATAAACTAAATTATGAGAAATAGCTTGCATTAGACATCAAAAGAGGTTTAACTTCCTTGCCATTTTACAAAATTAAAATTGAACAAATAGCGTATGGCAACGATAAAATAAAATATAATTATTACTTAGTTAAATTCTGTTAAAGAGTCCTAATGCATATAATAGGAAAAAATTATAATTCAGAAGCGTGATTTGGTGAAAGAAGTAAGGTTAGAGATATTTGAAATGTTGTCAGAATTATAGACTAAATATAACAATAAAACCACTTACCCCATGAGAATATTGTAGACCATAAAATGAATCTTATTATAATTGTATCCTTCTTTTATACATTTCAAAAAGGCAAAGAGGCAAAAAATAATCCCACCAATGAAGTGATTGACAGAAAATAGGAACGGACTGACTGAATGAAGTTGGCACAGATATAATAGGATGTTGATATAGATATTATGAAACCAGTTTGTCTGTCAACACGGAACAGAATATTCCAATTTCAGTCTACCGGACAAAAAAAAAAGAATATTTATTCTACAGGACAGAGAGAGAGAGAACAAGAGAGAGAAAAGAAAGACAGAGAAAGAAAAGAAAGACATAGGGCGCCAACTACTTTTTAAATAAAAAATGGTAAAAATTAAACTCAACATGAAATAATTAATAAAGATATTAAAATAAAATAAATATTTTAATATAAATTAATAGAGATGTGACGTTTATAACGTTATAAACAAGAAAACACGAAGTTTGTTTAATTTATTAATGTTTGTATTTTGAGAACGATTTCCGAAGTTGATAATGAACCGTCAATAAACTTATTTTAACCTTTAATTGTGGCTTATTCCCAATAAAATAGTAATTGTTTATTTATGTTTTAACTAAATCACACTTTATTTTCACAGGCGTAAAATTAGACGTTTGTGACATTTCATAGAATCACTTATTACTATCACTTTCTACTATAAAACTAAAAATTCTGCGTATTATAGTTCCAAAGCACAGCCTGCTAAGTGCTAATCTTAACTAAAATGATTCACAATCTGCAAAACCCGTTTTGTCGCTTGAAAATTTGAATCCTGTTTCATAATAAATAAGTTAAGGGCTAATAGATTGACCCTCTCCTTTTGGAAAATTGTAAATATTTTGTACCTGTAGAGTTGTAGTTGGTTACAATAACTACAAAATGAAATAAAAAAGATTTGAAATAAGTTATTATGTTTAAAAATTTTAGGTAAAACCCAAACATTTTCAAAACAGCTCAATATTTTAATTTAGAAAATCTTCGTCATCGTCAATGTAATTATATTAAATTTTATCTCACGTGCAATAACATTTGTGCTATTAGTCATTTTCAAATGTACTTTAATATGAAAAATATTTAAAATATGTCTGCAAACTATTTATGTAATATGTTACAAAATAATTACAGAAATAATAAATTAAGTAAATGAAAACAGGTCAAGGTTTTAGTGGTAAAAGCATATGAGCAATTACATTTACCCGTTTAAATTTTCCATAATATATTTACATATAAAATGTGTTACACCCATGTTTTCTGTTACAGAGCGGCCTCCACGGACTGACTGGCAATCTAGAGTTTAGCGAGGGTAAAAGGGCCAACTTCAAAGTGGACCTTCTAAAATTAAAGAAAGAAGAAATCCGTAAAGTCGGAGAATGGACGGTCACTGACGGAATCAACATTACGGATCCCAATGCCTTCTACGAAAACCACACTCCGAATATAACGCTCATCGTTATGACGAGAGAGGTGAGTAAAACTTTTGCTTTATGACCGCTTCCCTTTTATCTCTAACCCAGATACACAGCCATCTATATCGCTATGTTTAAAAGAACAATTTGGGTTCAGTAGGGTGTTGTCAAAAATTGAGGAAGATAAAGTTTACGGTTATCATATTTTAGGGATAAAATACCATATATAAAGAGATATATATCTCGATACAAAATTGTATAGATATATAAAAATGATGATATTTTTTAGGTTTTTAAATTTAGATTCGGCATTTTTCTAAATTTAATGTATATTATTGCAATAAGGACATGGACAATAACGGAAACGTTTTCTTTATTTTCGTTTGCCATCATTGAGGGCTATGATATATCATTTATGTGAAATAATTACATGATGTAAACTCCGATTTTAATACATTTATGTAAAAATTTTCAACTCGGTATGATGTAAGAACTACGTATAACAGATTGCCTACCTTGATATATGTAATTATACCTTATGTAAATGTAATTTTTTTCTTAAAAAACAACAAAGCACCTGGTGAAAATGGTATCATTGCTGAGTTTTTAAAAAAAGGTGGCGAAATGGTACAAGAAGAAATCGCTGAGTTAATACGCGAAGTGTGGATCAAAGAAAAAATACCCAATCAGTGGAAAAATGCAGTCTTATGTCCAGTGCATAAAAAAGGAGACGTTACAGAATGTAAAAATTACAGGGGAATAGCTCTACAAGATACAGTGTATAAGATTTTGGCCATATCAATTATTAGAAATAAAATTAAAACAAAAGTTGAAAATTGTCTAGGTGAATATCAAGCAGGTTTCAGAGCAAACAGATCGGTAACTGACCAAATTTTTACAATGAAACAAATTTTAGCTAGCTCATATGAATTCAACCTAACAGTATACATGCTGTTTATTGATTTTAGACAGGCATATGATACTATAAAAAGAAATAAAGTATATGAAGCACTAGAATATTTTGAATTTCCACCAAAAATAGTAAGACTGACTAAATGCATACTCAATGATACTAAAAGTAAAGTCATGTTAGAAGGACGGGTTTCGGATAGTTTTATCACCAATAGAGGTCTGCGACAAGGTGATCCGTTATCAACAGATTTTTTTAATTTGATCTTAGAGAAGATTTTACGAGAATGTAACATCTACACTAGAGGCACAATATATCATCACAGGCATCAATGTGTAGCATATGCAGATGATGTTACCTTAATAACAAGGAGACCTGCAGAATTAAGAGAAATCTTTATTAGAATAGAGAGAATAGCCAGAGAATATGGTTTAGAAATAAACGAAGAAAAAACAAAATATATGGTGATGAGGGGAAACGAAAATCATCTAGGAGAGTCCTTTAAGGTACAAAGCCCAAGTAAAGAATATAACTTTGAAGTTGTTAGCCAATTCGACTACTTGGGAGTGACACTAATAAATAGGAACGAAGAGAACCAAGAAATCATAAAAAGAATGGCCAAAGGTAGTAAGAGTGCTGGGAGCCTGACCAAGATACTGAGGTCGAAGATAATATCCAGAACAGCAAAAAAACGAATATATACAACAGTTATCCGACCTACAGTACTCTATGCTAGCGAGACCTGGACACTAAATAAAAATATGGAAGTAAAATTAGATAGATGGGAACGAAAAATTCCTAGAAGGATATACGGAGGTGTAAAAGAGGGAAACATCTGGCGAAGAAGAACGAATGAAGAAATAATGCAAGTATATGGGCAACCAAAAATAACAAGACTCGCGAAAATTCAAAGATTAAGATGGCTCGGGCATATAGCAAGAATGAAGGAAGGAAGAGTTCCCAATGAATTAATAAACACGGAGGCTGGTACAAAAAGAAAAAGAGGCCGCCCCCGAAGAAAATGGCTGGAGTCGGCAAAAGAAGATCTGAAGTCGCTGCGGGTACAAGATTGGAAAAACTTAGCACAAGATAGAAAGAAATGGAAGAAAACCGTTGAAGCCTTGGGCCTTTGAGGCCTGTTGAGCTGAACTATATATATAAATGTAATTTTTAAGCTGTCTAAAATTACGTGCCGTTTTCGCTCTTAGTTAGGTTATGTTATTGTATGTTATTTGTGAAAACATTTACAACATGTATCTATTTCAACTGGGTTACTGGTATCCCGTAACTGTCGTGGCTCTATATTTACCTAATTTCCCTCTGCCACATCATTCAATTCATTAAGTAATAATAAATTTACAAAATTCATTTTTTTCAAAAATAAACAAATAAAACAAACAGGAAGCCCAAAGTTAGGTTAATTTGAATTAGTTGACCGATCTTCAGTATATGACAGAACCGAAAATAACGTTTTATATAATTTTCTGCTACATCATACCGTTTTTACACATTATGTTTTGAGAACTGTAATCTGATGTACGTTTTGTGAATTTTACACTAGTATGTAATTATTTACGTAAATAATACATCATAGCCCCCATTGAATCATTTAAAAATTATTAAGTGTTTATACATTAAAATTAATGGCAATTGTATAGGGAAAGTGCCGATGAAGTTAGCTACAAATGATCTGTCAAATTTGTGTTTATGGTATTGTCATGTCCTTAGTGTGTATATGTTTTATGCCTCAAATATGCTTTCAAACAGTACATTTTATTATTATTATTTTATAAAATCGGGTATTTTTTTTAATTTTTAAAATTCTTTATAACACGAACGAATGAATATTTGTTTCTTTTGATATTAGTTGCAGTTAGTTATTAGAAAAAAAATTTTTATAATTGGCCTTTGGTAGATTAGTAAATAAACTTGGCAATATTGTCAAAACTTCGAAAACACTAGTTGCCAGATTGCAACAAATGTTCAGCAGATTTCAGTTTTATGCCTATTTTCTTTTAATTTTGGGTTGAAATGGTAACTAAATACCTTAAAAAATTAAAAATTTAAATGCTTAAAAAGTTAAAGTTAATTTAAGTTATAATAAATTAAATTTAAATTAATTAAACTTTTTTTAAAAACTTAAAAGGAATGAACATTAATAATTAATATTTTATTGCATGCTCTTTCGTGATTTATTTGTGATATGGCAACACTGCCAAATAAAAATCTGTCCCTCATTTGTAGCTAACTTTATCGGCACTTTCTCTATACTTTTCCAAATTAATTATAGAAATTAGTTACCATAGGTATCTATGTAATTAGGTAGGTACCATAAAACGGGGTCAATAGAAACAGTTTTGAGTTTTTCATGCTTTGTAGTTAGGTTGCTATTTATCTTATCAACCACCAAAAATATGCAAAATATGTGTCACGGATAACAGGTTTAAGGGTCTAGTAAGCACATTTGAAGTTCTAAACGACGCCTTTATACATGGAAATCGCCTGCTGACAAAGTCAACAAAATGGTCAGAAATCAAATTGACTACATCCTAATAAAACATCGAAACTCAATTCAGGCAATAAAGGAATATCCAGGAGCAGACGTATTCTTTGATCATAGTCTTCTCATTGCTAGGTTTTAACTTAAACTAAAAAAGACGCAAAAATGCCGCAACAACAATAAACTTAACATACAGGAACTAAAGGCAGAAGAAACAAAAGAAAATGTGAAACACGAAATCAACATAAATCTAGATAGAAACCCAAGAATCATTGCAACGTAGAGCAGCAGTGGCAATTCTTCAAAACCTCTATATTGGAGCAAGTAAGAAAGTACTTACTACAACCAAATGTAAGAAAAAAGAGTGGATGACTGAGGAAATTCTAGAGTTCATGAATGTAAGGAGAAAAAACAAAACCATCAATACGATCCGCTATAAACAGCTTCAAAACCAAATAAGAAGAAAAATTATGGAGGCGAAAGAAACCTACTTCTTTGAAAAATGTATAAAAAGTAATAGAATAACTGCAAAACAGATATATCAACTTTAATCTACATAAAAAAGTAAAAGAACTAGCCGGAGGAGGAAATAGAAAAACCTAAAATATATGCACGACAAAAATGGAAATATTATATTGATGATCAGAGAGAAGCTAGTACATCTGTAGATAGCCAAACGAGGGTTGTAGGCCCAGAGATAACCAAATCAGAGGTTAGTCAGGCATTAAACTCAATAAAAACCAATAAATCTGCTGGTCCAGATGAATTACCAAGCGAGCTAGTAAAGTTGGTCAACGAGAAAAACCTCGACATAATAGTAAAACTGTTTAACGCTATCCATACTATGGGAATCACCCCTAGAGAAATGTTGACAATTGTTGAAATATTGAGCATTTGTCTGTTTGCTAAAGAAAGTAAATGCCAAAGTGTGCAGTGACTATCGAACCATAAGCTTATTGTCACATACCTTAAAAATTCTGTTAAAAATTATCCACGTCACAATTTACTCTAAACTGGAGCTGGATGTTAGTAACACACAATATGAGTTCCGCAATGATATGGGTATCAGAGAGGCATTATTCTCCTTTAACGTGCTGACACAGTCTCTGTACGTCTGTTTTGTAGACTACAATAAAGCGTTTGATACAGTAAAACATGGCCGACGCATGGAAATTCTAAAAAATAAAAACCTAGGTGAAAGAGATTTAAGGCTAATAACAAACCTTTATTACAATCAGCTAACAACAGTACGAATTGAAAAAGAGATATCTGAAGAAATGGAAATAAAAGGAAGAGTCAGGCAAGGCTGCACACTGTCACCTCTATTATTTAACGCTTTTTCTGAAGAGGTAATTCGAGAAACTCTGGAACATGAAACAGTCGGCATAAGAGTAAATGGAGTCTTAGTTAACACTTACACCATTAAAGCTTATAGACACGCCGTATGCTATACCCCCGTTTCGAAGATTGAAGCCAACATAAATTGTTGAAAACATTAGAAACTAGAAGTGAAGTAGAAGACTCATAAGTAGAACAGTAATGTGTAGCTTCTATTGCATTTTTTTATTATTTTCCCCCACTCTGTTGCACTGGTTTTGAACAAACGTTGTACTGGATAACATAGTTTTAATTAGGGATAATGGCAGTTTTTTGATGCGAGAATTGGCAGCTGCTTTAAAATTCGATACTGTTATTCTTCCTCTTCATTGATGAAACCATTGTTCTGACTTACTGTGGTCTCATGTACTCTTATCAATGATTATACATTCACTTTCATCCTAACTTATAACCAAGTTATCAACAACTTTAACTAACTGAATTTATGTGTATAAAATTATATAACAAAAAAAATGGGTTAATTGGTGATATTGACATTTTTCTTAATGACTCAGCCATTCGTTCAGCAAATGTTTCTATCACTTTGCTTAAAACGGATGAACTTCCAGCTTTTTCGATGTCAGTCAAAAACTGTACAATATAATCAACACTCATTGTTGACGCAATATTTTGCCAAAATCAATACCTCTAATTGGTTTACATTCAATCTTTGCAGTTTTGGGCACATTTCAGAGGGACCTCACATCTGTACATGCTATATTTTTTTTTGATGCAGCTATATATTGTAGTGTATACAATATCACACCAACATGGCTATACACTTCTGCACCTGCCATTCATGTACAATGTCCTGTTTCTACACTTCCATCTTGGTTACACCTAACCCATGCTTGTAGTGGTGGCTCGTTCATTTTTTGTGAATGTTTAATCTGTAACAATAAAAGAACAAGTTAATATATTATAACAACTAGCATAAAACATTTGCTCCTTAAATGCTATACTCACTTTCCCTAATGTCACTTGTCATTTACAACTTTTGACCCACAATTACTCACAAAACCTGCTTCAAAGTATTTGTATGCTTGCAGGCTTTTGTAAGCTTTAATTTGATGTTGTGTGTAAAAACTGGTGCTCAACACTAAATAGCTCACTACAACTATGCTACTTGTTGGGGGAAAATCATTTGGATTGTAACTTAATTCAATTTCTGAAATAGTATATGGATCTATGTTTGTTGATTAGTTTTAATTTCTCTAGACATCTGCTTGCTACATCATAATTTCAAGTTATTGAAGTAATGACTCCGATCAATTTCTGAAACAAAATAACATTCATCAAATTAATAAACAGTTAGGTTTCTTATCAATTAAAAAGGTGTAAATGTCTTTACTATATTATAAAAAATATTTTGAGTCGCACTTAGTTCAAAAATATTAAAATTTTATTGATAAAAATATGTTATTTTAATTTAAATAGCTTATTTTGTGTTCAAACACTAAAATGTTTGAATGATGCTAAATCTATAACTAAGAAATATTAGCGATATGCCGAATATGCTAATATATAAAAGTACATTCTTATCAATCATTATAAGGATATATTGATAATAATTGTGGTTGTTAAAGGACTTAACTAAACTATTATGAACTTTTCAACTTACCTCATTAAATTATAATTATCTTCATGTAATCAATGTGATTACATGAAGATAATTCTGATGTTGATGATGATCTAAATGATCTGATATTAAAGAAAATTGCTTTTTATCAATTATTAGGTCATCTACTAATTATATTTGGATAACTACAATTAAAAATTTGTCTTTTACGGCAAATCGCAATGCTATTCAATCCATTGTTTGCCATCCAGACATTTTGACACTTCGGTTTGAGGTTATGTGTTTGACTGCCCTATAACCTATGTAGGGTCATACGTCGCCATGTTACCAATTCCAACGGTAACTTAAACATCCTAATTTGTAATTATACATAATGTAAAACAACTATATATTGATAACATTTAACGGGTTTTGAGCCATATATTTTGGTGGCACATAGCATGTATACCCCGTTTACACTGATGATGGAATTAAAGGATTTGAAATAAATTTTTTTTTAATCAGTTATGATCAAAAACCCATTTTTGGACGGTTTATAGAATTTTGAGGTTATATGTCAATAATTTTTATTGACATATAAAACCCTAAATATTTTAGGGTATTGTTGTGCTAAACAATACCCTAAAATTTGGAGTCAAGTTTTCCCTGGGATAATTTTTATCCAGCTATGCTCTTTGTATATCTTAATTTTTTATTTCTTATCACACAAATTACTTGTATGTAACGTTGTATAAAGATTTTACTGCTTTAATATTTAACTACATTTGGAATATCGTCCTTATTTCATAATGAACTACATTTAGAATATCGTCCTTATTTCATAATGAAAGGTTATATCAAAGCCCTAACAAAGTTTATCCTTAGATCGTACGCAGGGAAAATCTATTTTTAAACTAACTTTCACGTTTCCCTTGAAGGAAAATGGCCCAATAGAGGACGCTACAAACAGTTAATTAAAAGTTTGTGTCGGGTTCTTGTAGCGATGCCGGTGATGGATGAAAGCACAATTATAATTTCTAATAAAAAGAACAGGAAATTTAATTGGCAGTTAATTAGCACGGAGGCCGAAACACCTCTGAGGTACTTAATAGCGAGTTGACAAAATCGCCTTATCTTAAAATGTACACTTCTAAAAGTTGTTTAAAAAATAATTTGTGTTGCTATAAATCTATTTATTTATGTTATAAATAATTCAGTCTTATAACAGTAAAAACTAGAACAACCACGTTTTTTTCTGCTAGTAGGTTTTGAAACAGCAGTAAAATATAATCCAGATAAGGTCTATCTTTGTCTTCTTTATCATTAGACTTACGCAAATGTGCAAAATGTAGGGGAACGTGGTCTATGGTGGGACACTTTTGAATATTTAAGTCATTCAGGTGCATCTCTTATATTTTTTAAGGTTTGAACCTATAAAATTAAATCTTTGGGTATTCTCGATTATGGGTTAATTGAAGTTTTAGATAGAACTAACAGAAATAACCAGTAACAAGACCGGTCCTGGCAAGGTATGGTTAAGTTGTACTGATATCGTACTCCTAGTTTTTTAATAAAAACAAGTGGTTTTATTAAATAGTTTTTTAAAATTAAAGTGTTTATCTACTAGGTACTACTACGTAAGTTATCTATACGTAATTACTATTTTATTAGTCTGAAAATAAAACGTCAATAATAAATATATACTACCGTACAATCATTTTGTGAGGTTAGCTGTTATAAGTACCTTAATAGTAGCATGCGGTTAGTTTTTCACTTACCAGAGTCGGAGTAAGGCCTTCGCCGCAATAGCTTATGTAATAATAGCTTATGTAAGACTTCACAGAATGTAAACACACCTTCCGATCTAACCAGTCCAGTAAATCAACGTTCGAATATCACAAACAGTTATGCATCAGCCGCTTCACACTCTTTTCCGAGTAAGACCCAAGCAATTGTATTTAGTTGCATCGATAATGCTAAACTGCAGGATTATCTCATTCCTTTGGGCACAATCATCAACCCAAAAAATATTATTTTTTATCTAGATTATCTTATAATAGAATCTGCATGTATTTGGGAAACAAAACCGTAGTAGATAACTTCATGACACAACATGGCTCTATAGAAGTACTCGGCGAAGTTGTAACAGCACGAAGGCTTGTCTCTCCAGCAGAAAGACTAGTCTTGTCTAGAGTCTGCTTATCAATTCCTCATCAAGTATTAGTTGAAGAATTACAGAATATCGGTTTAAAGCTTATTTCCCCAATATCATTTCTAAAAACTAGCTCGACTCTTCCCGAATATAGTCACATATTGAGCTTTCGGAGGCAAGTTTATATAAGCCGTATAACATCACCAATTCCAGATTCTATTGTAATATATTTTGATCAAACACCTTACCGCATATTTTTGTCACAAGGTACACTTACCTGCTTTATTTGCAAAAATACAGGACGCATATCATCCCAATGCAATAACAGTTCAGAAACGGAATCAACTCATATTGAGTCAAACAATGAAGTACCAAATCAAACAGCTTCAACAAGTATACTACACAAGGTACCAAATAGCCAACAGTCATCAAGTTATCCATTATCAAATCCAAGCATATCACATACACCTACAAATCTCCATGACAAAAAAATTACTAACGCTCCTACTCATAATAACACTTTCAATCAACCTCATTCAGTAGCAATATCGTTTTCACAAACTTCGGAAGCAATATTCTCCAATCTATCAGCTCCTTTTACAACTGCAGAAAATTCTAATAAAACTGATACATCAAGATAATTTTCTGAAACAACCATTTCAACTAATCTTACAAATAAAACTTCAAGCTCGAGTTCTGTCACTACCAAGGAACTTGCCCCAGTACTTCCAAATGTAATAAAGCCACAGCATCTAAGTGAAAACTCTAATAACAATTCCGAAAACACAAGTTTTTTCTATAAAACGCAGTATTGGTGAGATCGTCACGCCTCCTTCAGGTTCAGTAATTTCATTGGAAAATCTGTTTGCAAAACCCAAACCCTCTAAACAAAAAAAACCGCGCTTATATAAAGTCCCATCTACACGGGAATCTCTTGAAAATTCTATTGATAATCATACTCCACCATTCGTTTTAAATTACCACCAATTGTCCTTACTGATTAATAATGTCCAAGGCTCCTCCGACACTATTAGCGTCGTCAAGGAATTTACAACTGATATCGATGGTTTACTTCATATTTTACAAAGCAGCTTTCAATATGCAAATTATAGGTCTACAAAAAGCAAGTTTACAAAACTTCAAAAGAAACTATACAACCACTTAGAGAAAGAGATTTCTGACTTTGATAGTGACTCTTCTGTAGGCAATTGTTCAGTATCATCTAACTTCGAATCTGTTAACAACATTCAACTCGATACTTCAATGGAACATTGATGGATTTTTTCATCGTCTCCCTATGCTACAGCTTCTTTTATCTAAATATTTTCCAGATATTATTGTTTCTTATGAATATGGAAAAAGCGTCCAATTTTAATGGGTTCCCTCAAACGTCGGAATAACAAAAAATGAAGAAGCTGACAGGACTGCACGAGAGGCAATTTTAAGTAATTTGTCAAAGCCGATAGACAAGTGTTTTTTTAGTGACTTAAAAGCTTATTTTAAAAATAAAGTATGGTGTTTGTGGCAAAATGAGTGGACTCAAACTAATTCCAATCTAAATAAAATCAAAAATAATGTGTCTCATTGGTTTCCATCGTCGCTCAATAGACGAGAACAAATTGCGGTTGCGCGTTTACGCCTAGAACATACCAGATTAACGTACTTCTACCTTTTCACAAAGAAAAATCCACCTATATGTGATCAGTGTAACGTCCGATTAACAGTCGAACATTTTTTAACAATTTGTAGTAAATATGACCAAGAAAGACAGCGCTACAAGATACCAAACGCTCTACTACAGGCTCTAGGTCAAAACTGTTCCTGTAACAATATAGTGAATAATCTTAGCTCCATAAACATTTTGTACAATCTGTAGGTGTTTAACTTTGTTTTTTATATTTTGTTCCGTCGCTAATAACCTTTTGGTGGATGCGACATCTTTTTCTAATAAAAAAAACAGTAGGACATTAGGACAGTCATTGACCCAGTAAGAACCATTTGTCCCAGTATGGACCAATATTAGTTCATAGTGGGACTCCTATTGGTTTATATCGGGACACATATGGTCCATACTGGACTGGGATAGTTAAAGCAGGAGTTAAGTAGGTACATACTGATAGGAAATAAAAATTAAAAATACTAAAAAAAATATTTGTATCAAAATTAACATTACAAAAAGCATTTAAAATATTTTATATGAAGAAAAATTAAACTGGAACTGAAGCTGATTTGTTGAACGTTCTGTTGAACCTATTGCGATAGGTTTGGTAAAATTCTAACAATATTATCTTGTTCTATGGTGTCAATAAAATTACAAATAAAGAAGTACTGGAAAGGGTTGGTAAAGAAACAGAACTAATCACCACTATACAAACCAGAAAACGGCCAGAAAATATCTAGGCCACGTGATGAGGGGTCCAAATATCTGTTGGCCGAAGGCAAAACTCATGGTTAAAGAATCTACGTGATTGGTATCAATGCAGATCGATTGATTTGTTTATAGCAGCAACTTTTATAATAAAAGTGTCAATATCTTCTTTTTTGGGATATCTAAATGTATTACCCAATTTTTCACTAATTAAGAGGATCGTGAATTCACCGTTAATAAGATTTTTAACACATCCAGTATAATGACGAACAGTTTTCTTGGTAGGGTATTTCACAATAACAAAATCGCTAAGATGAATATTTGGCTCTAAATCATTGTCCACGTCATTACAACTTGCGTTTGATTCCATGTTATCTTCTGTTTCAGGCTCTTTAGAGCTTGATTGTCCCGTTTTATATCTTTTTTTAGGTAATAAATCGACACCATGTATGTTTGTGTATATTTTTGTCTTTGTCTATACTCTTCTTCTATTTTACCCATTCTAGGAATGTCTGTAAGTACTAGTGATTTCCCTTATTTTTTTTTGGTGGTATTTTTTCTATGAGGTGCTTTCAGCTGAGGCCCAATGACTTCAGGCGTTATTAATATTGATTCTCTAGAATGAGAAGGTTCAGCTGCTGGAAGTATATTAGAAGGTCAAAATAGGCAGATATTTTTTCTATGGGACCAATAGGAATTTCAGTGGGCGACTTAGGTGAAGTGGGGTGGTAAAATCCTACAATATTGACCTTGTGTCAATATAATTTTATATTTTACTATTCGCTCCGTGCGTGACCATGGTAGGGGTACATTGAAACGATGCCAGCGTGCGTAGCGGCGAAATATGACAAAATTGGAATATTGGACAAAATATTGTTACGCATAAGTTTTATCAAAAATGTGTGCAAATACATGTTGCGTATTTATTTCTGCTAATAATAGCAAAAACAGTGAGTGTAGTTTTTATAGGTTCCCAAAGATTACATATAAATTAGAGAAAAGAAAAAGATGAATTCGTGCTATTAATATGAAAAAGTAAATATCACATGATTTCATTTTTATGCAATTGAAATAGGAATAATTTAAATAATTGACCTTGAATGATATTTCATAAGGCTTCAAGCTAACTGCAGATGACTTTAGCTTTTATATCAT